GATGGGTGCAGCGACTTCGGATTGATCTTTTCTTGGCCCCAGCGTTGCTGTGCCGCTGCTTTTCCAGGGTACTCCCCAGGTATGAGAGAGCATCTAGTTTTTGGTTTTGTCCCTGGCTTGGCTTTGTCTTCTTTTTTGGTTGACCTGTTGGGATATCTGGCCAAAAGTCATCGGATTGGACTTTGCAGATTGTGTGCGTTTTGTTGCGATGGCTACAAAATGCAGTTTTCTCTATACAGGCTTCCGTTGATGCATAGCTGTTAATTGCATACGACCGGCGCATCAACTCTGTGGATTACATTCGAGGAGTGAGGGCAGCTGGATTTCACAAGTTCTTTAAATACACCTCTAAGATTCCATCTCGATTGGTCTGTCAAGGGCATGCTTGTCGTGCCTGGCATATGCAGACAGTTCGAAGCTGTGAGGCTCTAATGGTTGTTTGCGAAGCGCTCGTCCTCGTCCCTCAAGAAGTCATGAAGGGAGTCCTCGAATTCGTCCTTGCCGCTTGGACTGCGGAAGCTCTCCGTGACCGCTTTTCGTCTGTTGAGGAGCAGGTCACCAAAGAACTCAGTGAGGCCAATGTGACAGGTGGCCAGCCAGGCGGTCGCTTGGGTACCGTGGCTTTGAAAACCGTCCAGCAAGGTTTGAAACGAGTTCGTCCGGGACAAGCTGCGAAAGGGTTCCAATTCAAGGCGCCTCGTGGCTTGGTGCATGGATTCCATCCCCCCAACTATGCCTTCAATGGACTCGGCCGCGGCGGTGTCGGTCTTTCCAGGGGGTTTGGAGGTCGACTGGGTGGGATGCCCAACCAGTTGGGTCGAATGCCGATGCAGGGGGTGGCCCGGCGTTTTGCCTCTGGAAGCACCGGACGGCAGATCACGAAAGGTGTGAGGATGATTGGAATGCAGAATTTGGAGGGGGGCCAATACACGCAACTGATGGGTAGACTGAGTCTTGTTAGTGCTTTGCATCTTTTCATACTTTTCCAACATTCGTTTCATTTTGCCTGGAGCTGAAAGGGAGGGGAGCCCGAACCCATCGCTAAGGATCGTGGAAGCCGTAGAGTCCGCGGCACACCTGCGCACTGGTGAAGAGATCGCCAAATCTATCCGCAAAGCTGGATGGAGAATTTGGTATGGGACCCTTCACAATGACATCACAGTTCTGGTTTCCAAAACCGAAGTGGGTATTGGAAGAGCAGCCGAAGACTTTGTTGGACGCTTCAGGATTCAGCAGGGAGGAAAGGATTTGTACGTGACCCTTCTCAAGAGGGCTGAGTATTCACCGCCGTTCTTGAAAAATGTCAACTTCGGGGTTGGTGACTCAGACAAAGTGCTGCTGCGGACCTTCGGCCAGGGCTTGCAATATGTTCGGAACATCTTTCAACAGCAGAGCTTACAATTCATGAGACACTTGGCTATGCCACTCAAGCGATTTAAAATGTTGCTTGTGTCCTTTCCGAGGCTCGACTTTTGACAGAAATTTCCGGCCCGTGTCCCAAGGACGGCAGATCGGGGAGGTGGCGAAAGCCGGCGTGTCGGAGAGTGCCATGGCCCAGAAGTTGGAGCAGGCCTTGGTGAAGAACTGGGGCCGAGGCTGGAATGTTGTGGTGTCGAAGACGGAGATGGAGGTCGCTACCAACGTCAACGACATCATGGCTAAATTCAAGGCCTGGGCTCTGATTTCACAGTGTGTTTAAGAACCCGAACATGAATGGCTCCTCTTTCAGAATGTGCCTTGACACAAAGGTGAACGACGTCTTCTTCACCATCGTGCGCCAAATGGTCTGAATCGACCCCGCAGCTGGCAAAACAGTGCAGGGGTTAGTCGTGGTCTGCTGCGACATTGATGAACTGCACGAGCTGACTTACTGGGTGCACATGGAACTTTTGTGAATTATTTTCTGGGCATGGCAACATGGAGCTAGCATCCAAAAGCTCTCCCAAAGCTCTATTCTATCATGTTCCACACTGCTCAGGGCTGTGCAGACCTTGTGGCTTTCGAAGTAACATGCATGTCTCAAAAGTTGCAACCAGTGATAGTGCTATAGTCCATTGTGTCAAAAATCTGTTGCCGCAGTCCGTAGTGGTCCAATCCACAACACCGTTTTGCGCATGCAGGTAGCGTGCATAGTGAAATTTTGTAACATAAAAGTGCAATCGGCGTCTCTTGCAGCCTCCCGTGGAGCAAGAAAGTGGGCCTCACGGCGGGAGCAGGACCGACTCTTTGCGCTGGTGGGCAACGTAGGAGCTCTATCTGGCGATGTAAGATATTGAAGGAGATGATCAAGCCTTGGGCCGCTCACCTCCTGTACTGTCCTGTTTCACAGGGGCCTTAATAATTTCAAGCAGCATTCCCTAAGGTCTACTCATTATGCTTCTGGTACGGCTTTTCTGATCTTCGCGTCCAGCGTGTGACTTGAAGCTGCCTCCGAGTCTGTGTGGCTCAAAGACAGCCACTGCGCAGCCCTGCTCTCATCATGGGCAGCGGCGGAAGTGTCGAGACTGCACCAGTTCCACCGGTGATACGGAAGATGCAGAAGCTGCCGGCAAGCCGCAAAGTAGAGAAGGCCGAGAACAAACGATTGCCGGAGAGACGCTCAGATCTGGTCGAGGCGATGCCGGGCATGCAGAAGCCGCAGTCAAGCCGAAAAGTAGACAAGGCCGAAAGTACGCGATTGCCGGAGGCGAGCTCAGATCCGCCGGTTGAGGCGACACCGAAAATTCAGAAGCCGCAAGCAAGCCAAGAGGGAAGAATGGCCGATGTGGGGCGATTGCTGCGACGCCCATCTCCGCTTGTGGAGACGCAGCTGCATACGCCCAAAGGCTCGGAGAAAAAAGAGACCGAGATCAAACGGTTGGCCGAGAGACGCTCGAATCCCTGGGAGACGATACCGACACAGAAGCCGCAAGGAACCCGGAATGTGGAGGCCAAAAGCAAGCGACTGCCAGAGAGATGGTTGGTACCCGTTGATGAGACTATAGCGATGCAGAAGCTGCAGAGGCCGCAGGCAGTCAGCCAGGGCGAGAAGGCTGATATTAAGCGCTTGCTGGACGGAGGCAGAGGCTCATCCCAGCAGGGGGAGAGGACCGAGAGGATGCAGAAGCCACAGGCAAGCCCCGAGAGAGAGACTTACGAGATCAGGCCTTTGCGAGAAAGGTGGTCAGAGATGGTCGCTTCACCAGCTGACACGATGCCGGACATGCCCATGCCGGGCATGCCCATGCCGGACATGCCGATGCCGCCAGCAACCTTCGTCAGAGAGAGGGCTGAGATAAGGCAATTGCGGGCAGAACGTCTGCGGGAAGAACGTGATCTCAACGTAAAGCGAAGCCGCAAGCTGAGTTGTTCGACAGTCACCCAACTATCGTAAGAGCCCGCCGTATCAGTTTCTAGACCCGTCTGTTCATCGGAACTAAGCAAGACTTCAACTGGAATGCGAAAAGTAGCTGAATCCGCGCATTGTTGGTGGTGCACTAGCTGCGTCACAAAAGGCTACACATATTTAAGGTGATGGCCTCTTCTTGTTTTGCAGTGGCAACTAGTCAGCTAGGTGCCCAGTAGGCAGCCACAAATCAAACACTGAACCTTGAAACCCTATTTCTCAATCCCAAACCCTGACCAAACTCTAAACCCCAAAGGTTGGGTGGTGAGCTTCAGACCCGAAGCCTAGAGCACGAATGCCCCTTCCCAGCCGTGGATCGAGAAGAGTGGCTCAACTCAGGCTTCAACCTGCGCGCGGTGCGCTGCAACTGCGGTTGCTGAACTCGCCAGAAGCGGCATTTCCCGAAGAAGTTGGCTTGCAAGTGATGGAGGGTCCAAGGGTTTTGGGCTGATGGGGGAGACAGCAGGCGTACTTTTCAACAGGCCAGTGCATGTGCGATCCTAGATTGCTAGCATTTTTTTGTTGGGCGACGACCAGTGAAGTATCATTCGTTCCCCGAGCCGAGCTCACTCGTTTTGAATAGTCCCATACAAGACTAGATGTGCACATTGAAAGAAAAACAACACTAGCAGATACACTAGGCGTTGTAGGAAGCCTTGTCGGGTGATGGTCGGATTTGACCACCCATGACCAGTCTTGCAGCTGTGTTGGCTCGGAAGCCGTGGTTGCCCCAAGGGCAGCACGCTTACCCACGATATGAGGGGTGAAAAAAACAGCCTGCTGCACTTCGCTTGCTAGTGCTTTTCAAGTCTCAGCCAGCCACAAACAGCAAAGACCCTGAACCCCAAGTCGAAAAGGTGACCATTGAGTCGAGGAGCTACCTGCCGGTGAATCGGTCTTGTCCTGTCTGGACAAAACATCTCCTTCACAATTCACAGCATTCAAACTCACAATCCCCAGCCTCTATCATCTATTTTATGTAACATATTACATATTATGTTACATATATATATATAAACAGTTGTATACGTATACATATACATATACATACACATATATGTATATATAAGTAAATGGGGCAAGGGGTCCTGAAGCTCATGCAGTCATCATCAGCATCTTCTTCTTCATGTTATGGGCAACCCTACCTCCTCACCGAAACCTACATTGATTAGAGATTGGGATCTGGTGCAGGCTCGAATGGGAATGGCCCCTTTCCGTGTTTAGGTACCTGAAGTGCTTGCGAGTTCAATTGTTGGGCCTGTCTTTCGGGTTTTGGACTCTGGGCTTTGCTTTGCTGTTTGGGGGTTTGACGCCGGTGTGTTTGTATGGGCTCATTATGGGCCGAACAATTCGATTCGTTTGGAGGCTGCATATGTCTCTGTTGGCTATGTGTACCCAATGGGCCAAAAGAATAACGGATGTTCAGGAGTTGCGTTGACTTCGTCGTGTGCACTCTAGATTTGCGCAAGCTCCTCTGTGGCAAGGCGCTGGCGTGCCCCCCGATGTTCCAGCGCTGGCAATGGGTGGACAGCCAGACTTCTAACTTGCGCTGTCCCTTTGCGAAAGCAGAGTCTTGCTTGTGCAGTGCCGAAGTTCGGGATATTACGAAAGCAAGAACCAGGCTTCAGGATTGCATCCCTTGGCAGTGGTTAGTGTGAGGCATACTGTGAAAGGATCGGTCCAAGAAGGATGAGGCTTCGGACAGATCGCTTAGCCTCCGTCGCCGTTTCCAAGCCAGCAGAAACTGCATCAGAAAGTTGGTATGAGAGAGCACGTTGTTGGAAACTTGAGTTGGCATCGTTACACACAGACGGGGAGGCTCTTGAAGTCCCAGGAAACCTCTGCAACACAAGGCATAATCCGCGGTCTACCACCCCTCAAGAGCCAGGCTTAGCAGATGAAATGCACCCCGCTGAGGCTTAGGGTTCGGGCTTTAGGTTCAAAGTAGCTTGCCTTCGCCCCCTTTGAATTCCTCGCGCTGGGATGGCATCCAAGCAGGCCAGCAAGAAGAGCAATTTCCTGGATCCTGATTTCTGAGTTTCCAGTCCCGAAGCCCCAGATCCCATACCCGACCTTCGACTTAGTACCCCAAGAAGCTTTTTCAAGTTTCCAGACCTTTCCAGCTAAACCGAGGTTCCGATTTCAAAATCTGAGCTGGTGAGATATACATAGCTCAAGCTTCACCTCGCCGTCTCCAAAGAATCCCACAACCTTGAAAGGAAGGAGCCATAGAGCCCAAATCCTTGGACCCACAGTCGGAATTACGGTCCTCGAACGAACATGCATAGACATCATCGTTATCGTTTCATCATCCCCATCATCATCATCATCAGCATGGTTGTTGTCGACATCAGACGAAGTGGCACTCAAACAAGTCTAGTGCAAAATGCGGCGATGAAACGGTTAGCAGGCCATCTCGCGCTTGAGGAAGGAGATCAAGGCGCCGCACCTGTTCAATAATCAGAGTCACAACAAACAATAATAATAGTAATAGCTATCTTCGTGATCACCAACATAATCAGAGTCGTAGCCGTAATAGTAATCACAACAATAAATGTGAAAGGCTGCGGCTCATCTTGTTCCGGTTGTAGGAGCCGGTTTAGCATTTGGGAAACAGGCTGTGAGATCCAGGGGTTTTCGAGGTGGCCAAGACACCCCAAACCCTGAACCCTAAGCCCTGAACCCAAACCCGACTTCCCAAGGATAAGCGATGGGATGTGCTTCGATCGTGCTGCGTAAACCTCCCTCCGGCAAATTGCCGCAAACAACGGAGTGTGGCTTCAGCTCGTCGATCGCGAAGGAGATTTGAAACGATAGTACCGTCGGATAAGGAGTTGTTTGCCTGGCAGCCACTACCTCCAAAGCAAGGCGCCTTAATCGCACTTGCGAACAACTCGGGAAAAATTGAGACGGTGCTTCTCCAGCGCACTTTCTTTCGGAGTGTTCTTGGCCCTGACCCAAGTAGAAGCCCTTGAAGCACTGTGGTCGTAGAGCAAACCAAAGCCAAGCACAGACGTTCAACCTACGCTCCAAGTCCCGGAACCACCTCACCTTTTTCCATTAAAGCCGCAAGCCAAAAACGCTGAAGCCTCAATCTGCACTACCATACCATACCATACCATACCGTACTATACTATACTGAACTATACTATACTATATTCCTATATTCTACTGTGCCATATTTACAATATTATATGTGTAAGTATGATGCAGTCTAACCCAAAATAACCCAAAGCCCCCGGAAGCCCATTCCCCCCCGCGGGCCTGGGAATCTGAGGCCATCGGCGAAGACCCGCCTCCCCACATCCACGTGTCGGTGGACGAGGCCTCCAGAGAAGATGCCAACTGTAAGGGATCCTGTCAGGGCACCACAGGGGGTACTAAAAGGGTAGGTAACCCCAACAATCGCTCAAAGGGTGTGAGTCGGATCTATCGGGATTTCACAGAGTTTCGGGTTTTTCGGGCTTTGGATTTTAATGGCTGGCCTTTGGGCTTGAATTTGCTTCTTTTGGGGGTGTCCGGACTTAGGCTTCAAGGTTTCGACGTTCGCAGGCCGTTTTCAGCCCGGATCATAACCACGAAATTGAGAAGACCCAAGAAAAGAAACTCCAAAGAAGCGAAACCGAAACCCATTGTTGCAGTCGAACATCCTGGAGTGGAACTATGTCCTCGAAGGGCCCACGGTCCGGGAGCTTACATACACTCTTGCAGTAACTGCTACGAGGTTGAGTATGTGATTATGATTGGAGCTCATCCCAGCACGAGTCTTGCATCTATCATGCTATCCGTAAGGATAGTCATGCCCATGGTTAGTTTGACCGCGGCGTATGGTAAACTTGTGTGTTCATTCTGCTTAATAGCCGGCGATGATGATTATTGTTACTGTGATGTTCTGATGATGATGATGATGATGATTATGATTATGATGATGATGATGATGATGATGATGCGGACGGTGCTCATCATGATGCTGCTGGTGATGTCGTTGTTATGTGCATGACATGACGATGATATGTGTATTGCGATGATAGCATTGCCGATGACAGCCATGCTCAGGGTGAGCTGCCGCTGCTGCTGCTGCTGCTGCTGCTGCTGCTGCTGTTGCTTCTTATGCTGCTCACCACGACTTTGCAAGCATTGCTATAATGGGGGACCTGAAGCATTGCATCCCTTGGTCCGGCAAGCTTTGAGCTGAGGAGACGCCCTATGAAGGAGGGTGGTGCTGAGCTCAGATGTGACTGTTCTCCTCGGTGCATCCTTGCAGTGGCCTTTTGAGGGCAACGCAGCTTTAACCTACCGCCAGATTCTGTTACCAGTTGCTGACTGTCCAACCAAAAGTGCATGAGGAACGAAACTGAGGGTGGCGCCTGGTAAGCTACCCGAACTTGGCTTCCGCCCGCTCTTTGGTGAAGAATAGCCTTGTCTTGAGGTTTTGGGGTCGCCTCAGATTTCCGAAGGACCGTGCTGCTGATGTCATCTGCACGCAGCATGCGGCATTCTCCAGAAGAAGTCTCTTTGGCTTCGTTTCGCACCTTCATGCATTCCTCTGTTTTACTACCCAGCTACGGAGGACTATCCATTCCGACCCCCTTCTATCCTCATGGTTCGGGCCCCAGCTTCTCGTGCTCGGTCCGAGCATGCAGAGACCCTGTTGGAATGGACTCCACATCCTAAATCCGCAGTTTACCGGAATGGTGTAGGTCCCGGTTGTGTGGCTTGCTAGGTTATATCTAGATATACGTATATACATAGATGTGTATATGTATATACATGTATATGTGTATATATATATACATATACATATATATATATATGCATGTATATATATATATACACACACATACACACGCAATGCCAGTGATGCGGTTGACGTTGTTTACATAGGTTATATGTCTATGTAAACCTATAGGTAGATAAATGCATCTAGAAACCAATATGTATATAATGTGTGTGTATATATATATACACGTAAATACGCTTCTATACATATGCACATGGGCACATGTGTTTTTATGAGTTTATGTGTATATGCATATGTATGTGTATGTTTGTGAATGTTTGTGTATGTATGTATGTATGCATGCATGTATGTATGTATGTATGTACGTATGTACGTATGTATGTATGTATGTATGTATGTATGTATGTACATACGTATGTATGTATGTATGCATGCATGCATGCATGTATGCACGTATGTATGTACGCACCAATAAATATGTGCAAAAGACATATATATATACACACACACACATGCATTGCGCTGCATTGTGCATAGAAAAGTTCAGTCTAGGTCAGAGTTGAATTGAATTGATATCTTCTGTTGTGGCCTGTGCCAAGCAGTCTTTTCGCCTTGGGAAATAGAGTTTAGGTTTGCGGC